GACGCTCGTTTTGATCACAAGGAAGGTATACAGCGGCTCCTCGACGACCTCGAGAAGGCCTTCGGGGAGAGGGAGATCTTCCGTCAAGGCGGCGTTATCCGGGAGTTTGAAAGCGTGGGACGCATGCAGGGCGAATCGATCACCGCCTTCATCCGTCGCTTCAGGCTCCTGGAAAGAAAACTCTCTGACAACAAGGTGCCATCGTACCCGGAGCAGGCCAGGGTGATTAAGTTGCTGGACGGCCTCTGCTTGGACGAGAAGGCGACGGCAGCTGTCTTGCTGGCGGCAGGAAACAAGTACGAGATGACCAGCGTGCTGGAAGCACTTCGCATCCAGTATCCGCCGGGCATGAGCATCACAGGGCTTCCTAAGGGTTTGGCAACCTTGTCCGTAAGATCGGCCAGGACCCCTTCTACATCCTCTCGCTCCTCTTCGTGGCGATCGTCTTCGACGGCAAGCTCCCGGAGGACTTCCCGGCAGAGTCGCCCTACTAAGTGGACACACTGGCAGTCTGAGTGGGACGAGGGAGTACTTGAAGAAGAACCGCATGAGTACGAGGGCGAGGTCGATGGAGGAGACCAGGGCGAGTACCTGGCTGAAGATGAGCCCAATGCGCTGGATGATGATGCTGGCGATGATGAAGAAGAGCTTGTTCCCGACGAGGGACAGGAACCTCCAGAGGAGGACTCTGCAGTAGATGACTCTGCTGCCGCTATTGTCGCCGCTGCCCAGGCCCTCACCGTGACTTCTAAGAAGCTGGCAGGACTGGTTCAGGGTCGCGGCTTCTACAACGTCGACGCCAAGGGCAAGGGTCGCTCGGGCAAAGGACACGGCGGGGACAAGGGCAAGAGTGGCAAAGGGAAAGCCAAGAGCAAGGGACGTGGCGGTCCTAAAGGAAAGGCTCCCGCCCGGAAGGGCGGTGGCAAGGCTGGAAATGGTCAGGACCGTCAGCAGCGACTTCGCGGATCCCTTTGCCTAGGCTGCGGCTCCGCTGATCACTGGATCCGTGACTGTCCTCACGTCACGAATTTTCAGGCTCAGATGGCTTCAGC